CCCAGCAGAGGGCAGATTTAAGTTACAAATCATGATTTGTTTTCTATTTTTATGTAAAATAAAAAATGTTTTGATTTTTATGGAAGGTTTTTATGTTTTATGTTTCTTTCAGGATTGTGTTCCCAGTTTGCATTTTTAAAATATTGTACTAATTTCTAAATCACATAGATACTTTTAAGGGGTTAACTACTGCACATATACATCAGAGATATAAGATTCAGGAATTACTAAACATGTTAGCAAGAGACCTCTGGCCAATGTAAGATAAAAGGAACTGGTTGTACTAACTCATTTTGCTGCCCATAGGGCCAAGGTTGTGACTTCTCCTAAGGGCAGTTCATATTGCTGAGAGCTTTCAACCCAGTCAGCTAATTTACAGATGCAATTCCAGAGGTGAGCCAATGGATGAGGCAAAAGCATAGGATTTTTATTCTCCAGTAAGAGTTTACTTATCTAGCGATTAGGAGGCCAGAAACTGTCTCCCCATGGTGCCAGGCACAGTCCAGCAGGTATCAGAATAATTTGTCATCTTGCTCTCTTACCTCTTGGAGGCTGCTGCTCCTCACCTTGCTCTCTTACCTCTTGGAGGCTGCTGCTCCTCACCTATCCAGTTTGCTTTCAAATCTGTCAAATTCAGATCCATCTTCCTCTCCTGAGATCTTTTCTGAATGACTGAAGCCAGTTGACCCCTTTCAATAATTTTCAACATTCTTTCAGTTATACAGCTTCTAAAATAAAAATTTGGCATTTTGTATTTAAATGTCAATAAGACACAGAAGCCACTTTCTTTTTGCTTTTTAACTTGTGAACTTCCATAGAAACAAATTAAGACATCCCCCCACCTCAGTAGAGTGAGCCAACTCCCTCTCATTTGTGAGAGGTCACTGTGGACATGTTTTGGGGGTTGGGCAGAGTAGGAAGGTGGAAGGGACTTTGAACAGTATTTAGGAACTTAAAACTTTGTTCCTAACTAAAGTTTTTTGTTACTGTGATATCGACATTGCATTTTTAAAAGCAATCTTATCTAAAACAAACAAGGTGAGCACTCTATGTTGATTATTCTACCTTCTATTTAAAAGAAGACTGTTTCTGGGTTTGCATATAAATAAAATATTTTCAGATAGATAATGTGGCAAAAAAACAACCCTCAAGTTTTCTGGAGGAAAATACACATGTACATAATTTGTAGGAGCACATGGTATGAGAATGGGAGCTGCCTTGGGTTTTTAGTTTAAAAACCTGCTAACTCTCGGAATTATCACAGATTATCTATGACCCCAGAGGTGAGACTATACCTTGTAGAAGCCAAGGCCATCCATAGTGTGAGCCTGGAAACAAAACGAACTGTTACTCTCCTGTGCATGGCCAGGTTTGATCAGGAATGACCTATTGGGTCTAGAAGAGGACTCAGCCCCTACCACAGAATTCTGACTCTCTGCTCTTCTCTTACATGAATCCTTTACTCTAGCCAAACAGGTCTGTGTCTTTGAGGTTTTGCTCTCGCCAAGAGAAAGACCTGTGAACCCCTAGTCCTCGCCTTGCCACTTAGAAATTTCACCAACTCCTTAGGGCTCGACAGGCATTTGGTTTTCACTTTTATCTCTGTGCTTATGGAACGATTATTTTTGGTATTGCTATTTAGGCCATTAGTTTATTTCACTAGGTTTATCTGAAGATCTAAATAGAAAAAGAAGGTTAGCTCTCTTAACTGTCTTATATCTACCCATAGTTCTAATAGATAGTTACTATCTTACTACTTAAACTCTTATTCTATCAAGTTCTCTTTCCTAATGATTTCCCCAAAAGCATTTTTCCTAATCTTTTCTATTAGATATGATAGTGTCTGTCTGTCTGTCTCTCTCCATAGAGTGCCCTTTGAATAGTCCAGGGAATATTTTTTTCTCTTTGTCCAAGCTGTTTTCTCTAACGGAGGTGATAATTAGCAGTGCTAAGGTTAGCAATGATATAATCCTGCTGTCATTATTACCTATTTTGTACCTATTTTTGTGCTATTCAAAGTACTTTACATATATTAATTCATTTAATTCTCATGCTAGCCCTATGACATATATACCTTGACTATCCCATGTCTAGTTTAGAAAACAGACAAACAGAAGTAACTTATTATAAGTTATATACTAGAAGATTGTAGATCCAGTGTTTAAACCCAGTGGGCTCTACCCACTGCATTATCTTGCTCTTTGAAAAATGGGTAAAAGTGGAAAGTAGAAGCAACTATCTTGGATAAACCCATGTTTGATATCAGTACCCAAATATCTTTCAAAATATTGGAGAAATATTGGAGACTGAGATTACTAGAGTCAAAACAAAGTGAAGGATTGCACAATTGTTTTGTGAATTCACAAGTTTCGGAAAACTGATCCAGATTATTAAGTCATAGTCTTTTTGTCCTTGATTGTGTAAGTTTTTACAAAGATGGTTAGCAAATGATTCCATCCACAATATGACAGAACAGGGAGGTTCTGATGAACATCTTGCTTAAATACAATTATAGAAAAACTAAATTTTCTCAGAAAATTTCACCAGTTTATTGCCAATAACAGTGAACCAAAACATGCATCTTGCTTTGAGGTTGGTAACTCACTGTTGGGACAAAGCAGGGAGACAGTAAGGGAGTAGTGGCCAGGACAGTGGCACTACCAGTCAGCTGAACAAGCTGGGAGCTGCACACAGACTGTGTGGGCACAAAGACCAGGTCAGGGAATTTTATTTAGTGAGTGGGGGAATACAAATCTACTTATATATGGGCACTGGGGTTGTTGGGCTCAGTTATGGGAAATCTGGCTGCTGGCAACCAGGCAGCAGAGCCCCCCTCCTTCTCTCTGCTGAGGGAGCTGAGAGAGAGAGATCAGATGCACATTTTACACAGAGAAATTCACGCATCCTGTGCTAGCTACAGCTTGATTGGCACCAAGTCCTAAATCCCTGTGCCAATCACCATGCCAAACCATGTGTGCCCTGAACTAACTCCTGCGCCAAGCCCTGTGCATTCCTTCCCAAGGCCCAGGTGACCTGCCCACTGACAGGAGTTGCAAGAGGTGGACCCTGGAACCTGGGCAGTGTGAAGCAGTGAACTGTATTAGCTTTGCAGAACAAGAGAAGAATCAACTTAACACAGACCAGTGGAGCAGAATAGACAACCCAGAAATAAACCCACACAAATATGGACAGTTAATATTGGACAAAGGAGCCACAACCACACAGTGGAGAAAGGAAAGGCTCATGGATAAGTGGTGTTGGGAAATGTGGACAGTCAAATGCAAAATACAAAACAAAAACCAAAAAAACTAAATTCCTATTGAGCATTAATTCCTATTGAAACTAGAAAATACCATAAAAGAAAACCCAGGTGATACAATCCTGGATAGAAACTGCAAAGATGTATTTGGGGTTGCAATGTCAACAGAAAGGGAAACAAAAGCAAAAATAACCAAATGGGACTGCATCAAACAAAAAGCTTTTGTACCTAAAAAAACCCAGCTAAAACAAAACAGCAGTCTACGGACTGAGAGAATATATTTGCATAGCAAACATCTGACAGATAATTTCCAAAATACATAAAGAATTCATATAACTCAACAACAAAATAACAATTCAATTTAAAAATGGGCAAACACTCTAAATAGACTCTTCTCCAAAGATAGCCTACAGGCACATGAAAAATGCTCGCTTATTATAAAGGAATTGCAAATGAAAACCACAATGAGCTCTCACCTCACCCCTGTGAGAATGGCCTATATCAAAAAGAATGGAAACATACAAAATGCTTTCTGTACTCCTATGTTCATAGCAGCATTATTTACAACACCAAGCCATAGAATCAACTTAAATGTCCATCAGTAGAGATGTAGATACAAAAATTATGGAATATGTACTTAATGGAGTATTACTCAGCTGTTAAAAAAGATGAAATAGTGCCTGTGGGAAAAAATGGGTGGATCTATACTAAATGAAATAATACAGAAAACAAGATGCAGTTACCACATGGTTTTGCCCATTTGTGAAATACAAATAACCAAAGAAAACAAACTGGCAAAACAACTAGAATAATTCTTAGATTCTTTAAAAAATATATAGGTTATCTGAAGGGGTGGAGGGAGGAAAGTGGGGATAGAGAAGGAAGGTGATATGGTTTGGGCACTGGAGAAGTGGTGGAGGGTGAGTAAGGCAAGTATATATATGGAGGTGTGACATTGCTCTCCCAAAATTATATAGTTATGTAAACTAATGGCAAATCAGTAAAACTTGGGGGGAAAGACTAGCAATAATAAAGTCCTGATTGATGGGGGTCACGTGTGCTATGGTGGAGTTTCTCAGTCACTTGTTGTTGACTCTAAAGAATTTATTTTAAAAAGGAGCTCTTCAGGGTCTCCACGGTGGCACAGTGGTTGAGCGCTAGGTTGCGAAGCTGCCCGCAGCCTCTACAGCACTGGTTCGATCCCCAACCGCCGGGCAAGGGTCCCACATGGCGTGCAGACCTCTCCTGCTGCCCGCTGCTCAGCAGTATAACGTCAGTCTGCCTGTTCTGTTCCCCACTCTGGCTCTGGTGAATTCTCTCACCCTCCCTTGCTTCTAACTGTACCCAGTGCTTGTATAAATAAATAAATAAATAAATCTTGGAAAAAAAAAAAAGAGGAAAAAAAATAAAAAGGAGCTCTTCACACTTAAAAAGGATAAAAACCCACTGATCCAAAATAGCACAATTATGTCTTCAATCTGACTGTAAAGAACTTACTCCACCTAGAGCAAAACACTGAATTCTTTATGATGTCACTTACAGTGGAATTTTTTAAAGGAAATGTAAACTGCATTTTGGTTTGATTTTAATTGGATATTAACACTAAGTCAATATAGGGGAATATGAATGAATATAGCATATTTATTTTAAAAAACTGTTACATTATTTGACTTTGTAATAGCATAAGAGTTCATAAAACATGCAAATTCAGAAACACTGATTCCATTTCCTTCTCCTCCAGGCTCTGTTATGTGGTCTACTTATTACATGTCCTCAGGATCCACTGAGATATTTAGAGAAAATGATCATCATTATTATGGAAAATGGCCTTGAAAGTCTTCTTTGGTAAGTATCATTTTCATTTATGGTACAGAGATATATTAATTTTGCAGGCAAACTCCAACTATGTAGTATCAAAATGAAGTCTTGCTAATAATGCTTCCAATTTCAAGATTGTTAAAGAATCTATAGTCTTTTAAGTACCAAAGACTTCAATAGGGATTTGCCTGCTGGTTCACAAATTGGGAAATACAGTGCATCTCATCAGTCTCATCAGTAACATGCCCGTAGGGAAGTTTATTTCAAGTTGTAGGTGAGTAAAGGGAGGCATGCCTTCTTTGGAACACAGCAAAATCTTGAGGGAGAGTAGTTTGAAAAAGCCCTCCAGTTGATTATGATATGCTTCTCCCAAGGGGAATAACTCATCAATTTAATTATGAAACTAATTATTACAGAACTATGAAATAAGTTTTTGACTATATATTATTTTATTAAAGGGATATGTGCATTGACCCATCAATAAAACCAAAAATTCGGAGATTATCTGAAACTTACCTGGAACAACTTTTTGGATTGGATGATCAGTTGGTAAGTACTAGTAATAAGCATCTACATTGCTGAGATGAGGTTTCTTTGGCAAATTCTGTTTATTTGATGAGAGATGTTTTTAACTTACTTTGCTATGTAAAATTTAAAAAGGGATATTTTTTTGAGGCCGAAACAATAAATGTCACCATGCAGTTCAAAAAGAAAAAAGAAATTGCCTAACCAAGCTGACTACGGGGAAATCTACAGATGGGAAAGTGCCTGGCAAACAGCTGGCCACTAAATCTGCCAGCAAAAGCACCCCCTCTACCAATGGGGTGAAAAAGCCTCGATGCTACAACCTGGGGCTGTTGTGCTTCTAGAAAGTCCTGGTTACCTGAAATGTACCCACCTTCTTCTATGTGGAAGCTGCCTTTAGTGAGTTGGAGAGGAAGATGGCCCTGGATTTCAAACACCACCTGAGGCTTCTGCATGCTGCCTTTGTTGCCCTTCAGGAGGCCGGTGGAACCATCTGGTGGATTGTTTGAAAACACTACTGTGTACCATCCACATTAAGAGAATCACCATCATAACCAGACATCCAGTTGGCTGGCTATATACAGAAAGAGAGAGCTTAAATGAAGACAATTTTTATGGTGTTATATAGTAAATTCAGTAAGATACATTGGCTTAATATGTGACTTTCAGGGTAAGAAATTGTTTATAATATAATATGCTGCTTAAGTCATTCCATCTTTCATTCAGGATAAATGTGAAAAATTCAGTGATATGAACACTGTTCTCATGAGTGACAAATTGAGATATGCAGAAGGGACAAGGATGGGTGATATTTCCTGCTTCTCACAATGCAAATTTCTATTTGTTAAAGATTTGCAGGGTGAAAAAAAAAATTTGCTGGGTAGACATTAAGGCAGAATGATAAATGTGTACAGGATTCTTTTGCAGTAAAACTGGTTGTAACTTGATCCAAGTGCTTTATCAATAGGGGCCGTTAAATCTGACAATATATCACTGTGATAGAATGTGGGCTTTTTCACAGGCAGAGACACAAATCTTATCACTCAATCAATCAACATCTTAACCATAGTGTAGTTTCCTAAAAAAAGAAAAAATAAAATGCTGACTGCTTTAGAATACACTATGCACATTTATAATAGCTATTATATATATTGTAGTGTCAACATTTTTAAATTAAATGTTTTACCTTCACATGTGGTAGGGAGTCTTGTCATTAAGTGTTTTTTTTCTTAACTAGACTGCACTTGTTTTCATAGTAGTAAAATACTTTGTGCAATATATACCTTGCACAATTCCTTATTGTACCATATTAATTAATTCCTTATTGTACCATGTTAATTAATGGTACAACAATTCCTTGTTGTACCATGTTAATTAACCCTCTAGATGAAAATGTAAATACTAGTGGGGGGGTTACTTATAAGGACTCTAGAATATAATAAAAATGATTCAAACCAGCATTATCTATTACAAATACTCTGAACTAGTTAACTTAGTTTTTCTTTGTGTTGTGATTAGTCTCACACAAGAGTTAAGTTTTATTCTACAGAGAGGAAACAATACTGAAGTTCTTTTCCTTGTGGCTTTTATATTATAATAAACCCTGCTGTGGTTAGGGGTGCACAGCTCCAACTTACTGAAACTCTGCTAGTTAAGATGGTATCCACTTAGGTGACATCTGGTACACACACTTTTGGGAGGAATATTTAGAGATGACTTTACAAGTGGTGTCAAAATTTACCCTATCGATGTTTTTAGGTATATTATGTATGTCAACAAAATTTATAAATTGTGCATTCATTTATGTCTAATGTTTGCCATTTCACTTCCCTATTTTAGATGACTCCAGAATTGATGATAAAAGCATGTACTTTTTATACTGGACGTTTAATAAAGACCCACTTTTGGTAAGAATGTGATTTTAATATACTGTTCCTTTCTCTTTGGTTCTCATTCTTAATATTCTCCATATGAAGAACTCACTTTTGAGCAATTGTGTTTATTTTATCTATTTAATCCCATCACCATCATTTTGTATTATATATTCTATATTGAATTGACTTTACTTAGCTAAAATATGTTCATGACTTCTTCAAGGTATCACTTGATTCTTTTTAAATAAAGCTTCAAAATTGAAAGTATAGTTCCACACGGACAGTTTGTTCAATAAATGGTGCTGGGAAAACTGGACAACCACATGCAAAATAATGAAACTAGACCACTACCTCTCATGATGCACAAAAATCAATTCAAAATGGATAAAAGAATTGGACATAAGACCTGAAACCATAAAATATATAGAAGAAAATATAGGTAAAACACTAGAAGACATACATCGCAATAACATCTTTAATGACTCATCACCCACAGCAAAGAAAGTCAAGGAAATGATAAACACCTGGATTTATATCTGTTTTGGTTAATGTCTCTTTTGCTGTGCAGAGGCTTTTCAGTTTGATGTAATTCCAGGTGTTTTATCTTTTTCTTGACTTTCTTTGAGTTGATTTTTGTTGAGTTGTGTGAGTTCTTTGTATATCTTTGTGATCAGTCCCTTATCATTTGACTGGAGTGCAAAAACAAAATGAACAATCCAGTCAAGAAATGGGCAGAAGAACTCAAAAGACATATCTCCAAAGAGGAAATGGCCAACAGGCATATGAAAAAATGTTCAATATCCCTTATAATCAGGGGAATGCAAATTAAAACCACACTGAGATACCACCTTACACCAGTAAGAATGGCACATATCAAAAAAACTAGCAACAACAATGTTGGCAAGGATGTGGTAAAAAAGGAACTCTCCTACATTGCTGGTAGGAGTGCAAAAGGTCCAAACACTATGGAAAGCTGTCTGGAGGTTCCCCAGTCTACTAAAATTGGAGCTACCATACTACCCAGCAATTCTACTACTAGGAATCTACCCAAAGGACACAAAAACACTGATTCAAAAGAACACCTGTACCCCTATGTTTATTGCAGCACTATTTACAATAGGTAAAACCTGGAAACAACCTAAATGCCCAAAAATAGATGCCTGGATCAAGAAGATGTGGTACATATACACAATGGAATAATATTCAGCAATCAAAAAAGACAAACTCATGCCATTCGTAGTAACATGGATGGAACTAGAAGGAATTATGCTCAGTGAAATAAGCCAGAAGGAAAAAGAAAAATATCCCCTATATTTCACTTATAACAGGAATATAGGGGAACCAAATAAAACATCAGTGTAAAAAAATAATAGTACAAAACACAACAAAGCAAAAACAGACAATTATAAATCAGAGATATACTGCAGGGGAGGAGGAGGGAGAGGAATCAGAGGGAGGGAGGAAAGAGCACAGGGGACTGAGGTGATGGTGCACGGGTGCATTGGTGAAGGAAACTCTATGGGGACTACACCTGAGGGGTGGGGGGAAGCAAACATTGTTTAAAAATGAACAATGATGTAAAAATAAAAAAAAAATTATAGTTCCATAATATCCTTTTCTGAAACCCTTGGAGTCAGATATGTTTTCGAATTTAGACTCATCTTTTTGTTTTAAATTTAGAAAAGAAGTCTCCATATATACTGTCATATACTATCATCACTGGTGTCAGGGGTGTCACGTCGGAACCAAACATATCTGAACATATGAAACATATATTATTATCATGTGAAATGAAGAAAGACTATAAGCATCCATGTACCAAATTCAGGGAACTTTATGCTACATTTGTCTAGTTCAGGTCTAGTGTCACCTCTTAGTAGGTTATAGGGATTCCAGAACATTCTAGGTTTTAGAGAAGTAGAAAAGGAAAGAACATGCTCAAAGGAAATATAAGAACTGGCTAGATAAAACAATAAAAATAACAATTTATTTCCAGGCTATGCTTTTGAAGAGAAAAGGGAGGTATTACCTTTTCCCCTTTTAATTTATTTACTAATATATCGTCATAGCATCAAAATATTTATCTCTATTTTCTGCATGTAGCTCTTGGAGAGACATAGCAATACCACCTATAAATGAAGATGCAGTTATGGCTGAAAAAATGGCAAAAGCAGAGGAATATAGCAATTTCAAATTTAAAAAATATGTATTTTGTCTTTGGCGTGCTTATGTGAAAGATAGAAAAGAACGACTTCAAGGTAAATTCTTACATTGTAGCAATTAGATTTTGTCTTCATTTGGTCCCTTAAGTTCAGCAAACTTAGCAGTTAAGTACAGTTTGTACTGGAGAATTTATTATTTTTATAACTAGAGAACTATCATGAAATGTAAAGTCAATAAATTAAAATATTTAATAAGATATGTCTCAAAGGGTTTTTTCATAATTGAAAAAAAGGCAAATTTAACATAAAATCCTATATGTATTTGGTGATCTATATACAAATGTAAATATAAATAAGAATCCACTACCAGCCTTTTTACATAGTAGACTGGTAAAATATTGATGGTTACCAAATTGACTATTTTGATAGAGAACTCTACATTCTTTCTAGATATTTCACATGATGGCTACACAAGGAAACTGTAAAAACGAATTTTCTTTTACTTAAACCCATGATAGCCATAATGAGTGGACAGTGCATGTACTTGATCTTAGCAGCAGAGAGAGAACTTCAGCCTTTTGCTTAGATTTTATCCAGCTTACCAGACAATAGATTTGTTTATGGCTGTTGCCAATCAGAGAATCATTTCCTCTTCAGTTAGTGCCTCAGAATGGATGCTCCAAAAGTTTTTTTTTTTTTTTTAATTTTTTTTTTTTTAATAGAGGCATGTTTATTTATTTATTTGTTTGTTTGTTTGTTCTGTTTACACATGCACTGGGTACAGTCAGAAGCACGGGAGGGTGAGAGAATTCACCAGAGCCAGAGCGGGGAGCAGGGCAGGCAGAAGGACCGAAGGACACTGCTGAGGGGAGCAGCGGGCGGCAGGGGAGGTCTGCGCGCCATGTGGGACCCTCCTCCGGTGGCCGGGGAGCAGCCGGGGATCGAACTGGCGCCGCAGAGGCCGCGGGCAGCTTCGCAACCCAGCGCTCAACCGCTGCGCCACCGGGGAGGCCCTGCTCCAAAGGCTTTAATCTAGGTAAATGGCCTCCGTTTCTGAGAGAAAACAATTGCCAGCAGCTAAGAAGCCATTGCACTCTGGGAGCAATGTCGGAGGCCTGGCTCAGTCATCTTCCTGATCTGGTCCCTTTATTTGAGTTTGGAACCTGGATTAAAAATACATATATAGGGCATTTCCATATAATATATCATAGAATATTTAACTAAATCAGAATACCACATCAAGATTGTATTTCTCTGAATAAATTTGGAAGTTCTTGTTTCGTAAAGAACAAATTTATTTAAAAAATGATATCTATCTTGACATTTTATTATGTCCATTACAACTTAATGTCTAAAGGCAAAGTTGTTATTTGGAGGTTAATAAAGTCTCAGGAGTACTAAGCAGTCAAGAATAATTGCAGTCAAGACTATTGCAGTCAAGTCTATTGCAGTCAAGAATAATTAGTTTGAGATGTAATTAAAATTGAACAAAAACTATCAGGTGAAATGTTGGGTCATATTAAAAACGTGAAGGGTATTAAACATGTTGTTTCTTGTAAACTACTTTAGTTCTATCCAGTGATCCAATCATTTTTCCTCAGCTGTACTATTACGGATACAAGAGATCATTCACTATCAGAAGCAAATAATTATACTAATGAAATGGAGAGATAAAGCAAGACAAAAGTATAAAATGAGAGAAGATGAGCTGGTATGGTTTATTGGAAAATTAGTTAATTTGGAATGGAATTTTACTATTATATTAATGTTATTTCAGATATATAATACTGTATGTAGAAAAAATTAAAATTCTAAATATTATATATCAATACTTTTACTGTATAATTTAAATTTCACTTCAGCTACCTAAAATATTTCCTATTAAATTGGTTTGCATGAACAATGAACATCAAGGAAAAAAATCTTTTAACATTTTGTTCAAATTTATTGATAAAGACTAAGAATTTTATTTAAGGAAATATTTAGATGGAATAATGCCTAAAGTGGAAGAGAAACTGATGAGTATTTTAAATAAAAATGAAGAATTTATTCTTTTCTAAATAAGAATAAATTGCTATTCATTCTTCTTCAACATTCAATTAATACATAATAACCTTAACAATAATTTATTTTTTAATTACTAAAATGCTAAATTTAAAAAATCATTCTTAATTGGGACACCCACCAGGAATTAATTCAATTGAAACAGAGGACCTAAGCAAACTCCTCCAAATTTAAAGATGTCTCCAGTTTGTTTAAACTATTAGTACACTATTATTTAGTGTTCACTTAGAATGTTCACTGTAACTAGGATCAGCCATAGAAACATGCTGGAAATTTTTATAGTTACATTATTAATAATGTAACTCTTATTAATAATGTAGCAATTTCATATGGAATTTCTAAATTATTTTCCCGCAGTTGTTACAACATGAAATGCAATTGAAAACATGGAAAAACAAGTTAAAACCTGCTGGAGATGAACCCACATTTCCTGGACAAGGTGGATCTAAAGCGTCTTTTATATTTGACATTTCACTGTTACCCGAAAGAGCAATATTACAGGTTTGTATGCATTTATGTGCCTTTACTAGTGATTTTCATAATGTTTGAAGAGTGGTTTTATGAACTTTACATGACTGACAGAGAATGGCCTCTGTATATATTTCAAAGAAATATATTTTTTATAACTAACTGGGCTATCACATATTTGGGAGGTTACCCATTTTTTATTATAGGGTAAGTTGCACTTGAACATGATGTATGATTCTCTATATATTGCTGAATTCAATAGTCCAAGTTTTAAGGATTTTTGCATCTATGTTCATCAAGGATATTGGTCTGTAGGGTTTTTTTTTTGTGATCTCCTTGTCTGGTTTTGGAATCAGGGTAATGATGACATCATAGAATATTTTTGGAAGTTTCCCCTCCTTTTCAATTTTATGAGATTAAGTAGGATAATATTGATTCTTCTTTGGAAGTTTAATATAATTCACTAATGAAGTCATCTAGTCCTGGGCTTTTGTTTTGTGGGAAACTTTTGATTACTGTCTTTCAAAGAGCTTCTAGTATTTTTTTTTCTTCTGAAGTAAAAATTTATTTTAGAATAGTTTAAATTCACAAAACAATTGCAAAAATAGTTCAGGTAGTTCCTAACTGTACAGCTTCTTTTATTGTTAATGTTTTATATTAGTATGATATATCTGTTGCAATTAATGTGCATGTAATGTATATAATACTAAAGATATTATTTTAATTCAAAATTTTTACTGAGGTTACACTAGCTTACAACACTATATACGATATAGAGGTAAATGCTTACACCCTTCAGATGTGTTACCATGCCATATCCACCACCAAGGCACCCATAGTCCTCTGCCATAGTCAATTGTACCCCTTCTCACTTTGCTCTGCCCCTCCCCCTCGGGTAGTCTCAAGTTTATAGTCAGATTCCTTGGGTTTGTTATTGCTTTGCTTATCTCTGACACTGTGTTTTGTACCTCTATATTCCACATAAGGGAGAAACCATTTGGTATTTGCCTTTCCCCTTTTGACTTTTTTTAAAAAGATTTATTTATTTATGCATATAAGAGCTGGGGTACAGGCCAGAGGCTTTGGGGATGAGAGGATTCACCAGAGACAGAGTGGGGAGGCAGACTGATGGAAGTACACTGCTGAGGGGAACATCGGGCAAGTCAGGAGAGGTCTGCTGTGCTATATGGGTAGCTCCCTGCCCAGCTGGGGATTGAACTCCTGCTGTTTGTGCTACAGAGACTGTGGACAGCTTCATAAGTTGCATCTTAACCCCTTGCACCACCAGGGAGGCCCTCCTTTTACTTTTTGACTTAGCATTATCATCTCCAGTTCCATCCATGTTGTCACAAATATTAAGTATATCTTTTTTATAGCTGAGTAATATTCCATTATATATAAATATATTTTTAATAAATAAATAAATATATAAAATACCTCTTCATAATTCACTCATCTGTTCTTAGACATTTAGGTTGTTTCTATAACTTGGCTATCATAAATAGTGCTGCAATGAAATAGGAGTGTGTGTACTGTGTTTTTGTATTCTTTGGGTGGATAACTATGTGTGGAATTGCTGATATTTCCTTACTCATGATGGATCTGTTCATGTTTTCTATTTCTTCCTGAGTTAGTACCAAATACTATATTTGGAACTTTTTAGTGTTTCTAAAAATTTGCCATTTCTTTTGTCCAATTTGTTATCATATAATTGTTTGTAATACTCTTATGACCTTTCATATTTCTGAAGTTATCTCTTGTAACTTCTCTTTCATTTTTTATTTTATTTATGTTTTTGCTTTCTTCAAGTCTAGCTAAAGATTTGTCTCCCTTGTTCATCTTTTCAATGAGCCAACTTTTACAATTTGGATTTTTTAAAATCTCTATTTTATTAATGTCTGTTCTACTTTTCATTATTACCTCTGTCTACTCCCAGTTTTGCTTTTTCTTATTTTTCTAGTTCCTTAGTTTTGAGCTTAGATTTCTTATTTGTGATTCTTCTTGTTTCCTGAGTTAGGTCTGTATTACTATCAGTTTCCTTCTTTTTTTTTTTATTTTTTTTTTATTTCTAGTTATTTTATTATTCTAATTATATCTAATAATAGCTTTGATGATATTTCCCTTCAGTACAAAGAACTTTCTTTGAGCATTTCTTCCATTCCCAGTCTGCTGGTGGCAAATTCTACTTGCTTTCCTTTATCTGAAAATGTCTCTATTTTGATTTAATTCTTTTTTTTATTAGATAATAAATTTTATTGTTATATTCCCCATACAATTGCAGCCCCCCCATTCTGACCCCAATCCCTCCCCTCCCGCCCCTGCCCCCCTAAAAGTGTCTCTGGTTCATAGTTTTTTGTTGATTTTGATTTTCACTTTCTTATAGTTATTCATTTTCCTGGTCCCTTATTTAAGTTTTCTAGATTCCTGCTATGAGTGAGACCATCCGGTATTTTTCTTTTTCTTTTTGGCTTATTTCGCTGAGCATGATCCCTTCCAGCGCCAGCCATGTTGCTGCAAATTGCATGTGTTTATCTTTTTTGAATGCTGAGTAATATTCCATGGTATATATGTACCAGATCTTCTTGATCCAGTCATCTATTTTTGGGCATTTGGGTTGTTTCCAAAGCTTAGCTATTGTAAACAGTGCTGCTATAAACATAGGGGTGCAGGTGTTCTTTGGAATTGATGTTTCTGTGTCCTTTGGGTAAATACCTAGGAGTGGAATTGCTGGATCATATGGAAGCTCTATGTTTAGTAGGTCCAGAAATCTCCACACAGCTCTCCATAGTGGTTGGACCAGTTTGCACTCCCACCAACAGTGCAGAAGAGTTCCTTTTTCTCCACACCCTCGCCAACATTTGTTGTTGCTAGTTTTTTTAATATGTGCCATTCTCACTGGTGTAAGATGGTGTCTCATGGTAGTTTTGATTTGCATTTCCCTGATGACAAGTGATGTTGAACATTTTTTCATATGCCTGTTGGCCATTTGCATTTCCTCTTCAGAGAAGTTTCTTTTTAGCTCTTCTGCCCATTTTTTGACTGGATTATTTTCTTTGTTGTTGTTGAGTCTCATCAGCTCTTTGCAGATTTTTATGATCAGTCCTTTATCATTAGTGTTGGGTGCAAAAATGTTCTCCCAGTTGGTGGGGTTTCTCTTTGTTTTTGTTATTGTCTCTCTACGGCGGCCAGGGAACGAACCAGCGCTGCAGAGGCTGCGGGCAGCCTCACAGCCCAGAGCTCAACTGCTGCGCCACCACAGGAGGCCCTCAGTTTCCTTCTTAATACTGTTTTTACAGCATCCATAGGTTCTGATGTCTTGTCTTCATTTTCATTCATTTCAAGGTATTTTTTAATTTCACCTTTTATTTCCTTATTGATCCAGTAGTTTAGTAGCATGTTGCTTATTCTTCACCAATTTGTGGTTTCCTTCTCTTTCTTCTTTTGGTTGATTTCTCGTTTCATATCCTTTGACCCAAAAAAATACTTGATATGATTTCAATATTCATAAATTTATTAAGATTCATTTTGGGTTCTAATATATGGTTTGTCCTTATTCTGTGTACACTTGGAAAGAATGTGTATTCTGGCGTTTTGGGGTGGAATGTTCTATGAATATCTACTAAGTTCATCTCATTCAATTATTCATGTAAGACCATTGTTCCCTTGTTGACTTTATGTCTGGATGATCTGCCCATTGCGTTAAGTGGGCTGCTTAACTTCCTACAACTATAGTGTTGCTGTTAACACCTTCCTTTAGGTCTATCAAATTTGCTTTATGTATTTTTAGCAATTTTTTATAATGCACCAATCATTTTCTTTGTGTTTATCCTTCTTGGAATTTATTGAGCTCTTGGAGATTTATGTATATCTGCAAATTTGGGAAATTTTTAGTTATTATTTCTTCAAACTTTTTTTATCCTTTCTCCTTATGGAACTACAATTACACATCCATTAGATAACTTAATATTGCTCCACATGTCACTTAGTTCATGTTCATTTTTTTTCTTTCTATGCTTCACTTTGAATAGTGTTTTTATAGCATTTTTGAAATAGTGTTCTTATAGCTATGTCTTCAAGTCCAACATAGTATATATGCAACTGTCTTAAAGAATCACTAAGTTGTGTAAATCCCATGTAAAGGTAGCACTACTCACCAAAATTGGAAAAAAGGGCACCAATAATTTGTGTAAGAGATAACAAATAACATGTTGAATTTTAAAGATGAAATGAACTTAGCATGTTTTCTAATTCATAGTGACTTTTATTAACCTTTTCTACAACTATCCTAAAAGGAAAAAAATGCATGTAGTCAATCTCGAGTTTAGAAACATCTCAGAAAGAGACAGAGAGAGAAAATGGGCACAGTAAATGAGAACTTGCTGTGGTGCACAGCAAGAAAATCATTGGTTACTATTAGTGTTCAGCTTGGTTTGTGGGAGGGAGTTTGTTGTGGCTGACTACCTCTCGAACTCCCAAAATTAAAGTGTTTGTCTAGTAAAAAAAAATGTTTTGTAGGATCTAACCTGCTATTAAACACTTTCAGTGAATTTTTAAATTACGGAAGTTGTATTCAACTTGTATTACTTGGTTCATTTTTGAAATTTCTACTTCTTTCCTCATTTTACTTTTAAATCCTTGAACACTTTATAAACTGTTTCTAAAGAACTGTCTACTATTTCTATTATGCCTATAATTGTTCACTCTGCCTTCCTTGGCAAACTCCCTAACTGACCTTTCCCCCAGCCCTCTTGTCTTAGCCAAGCTATTATTTAAGATGGCATCTGAAATCATGTGGCAAGTTACTCAGTTGGGTCTCTCCCATGTGTACAGGATGGAAACATGTCACTATTAAACTTCTATGCCCGTTGGACTATTTTCCAGTCTAGAAGAACCAACAGGGGTACAGAATGAATCCCTTTGTATTCTGACAAGTTATTTAAGATGGTGTCTAAAGCCATGCGGGTGAATTACTCAGTCTCACTGGATTCTTCCATGTATACAGGAGGTGTACATGTTATTATTAAATCTCATTA